CAAATAATCCAAGAATTTGGATTCTATGAAGAACATGCCATCAGGATTGGAGAAGACTCATTAAACTCATATCTACAATATGTAGATGATATAACTTTGCTTGCTGAAAGCAAACAGGACTTAAAATACTGATGAAGATCTTCACTATGGATTGCCTCTCATATAAAGAAAACAAACGTCTTTACAACTGTACCAATAAATAACATCATGATAAGTGGAGAAAAGACTGAAGCTGTTAGAAACTTCATTTTGCAATGATCCACAATGAACACTCATGGAAGCAACAGTCATGAAATCAAACAATGTGTTACATTAGGAAAATCTGCTGCACAAGACTTCTGTAAAGTGTTAAAGAGCAAAAGATATCAGTTTGAGGACTAAGATGATCCTGACCCAAGCCATGGCATTTTCAGTCACCTCATATGCATGTTTCAAGCTCACCAGCTGCTCCTCGGAAACCCTATCCAGGGTCGCTATGGGTCGGAACCGACTCGATGGCACTAAACAACAACATATGCATGTGGAAATTGAATAATGAATAAAGAATATTGTAGAAGAATTGAAAGATTTGGAGGATAATATTAAAAGTACCATTGACTGCCAAAAAAAAGCACACAAATAAATCTGTGTTGGAAGAAGTACAGCCAGAATGTTCCTTAGAAGCCAGAAAGGCCAGATTTTGTCTCTCATCATTCTGACATATTATCAGAAGGGATCAGTTCCTGGACAAGGATATCATGCTTGGTAAAGTGGAGGGTTGGCGAAAAAGAGGAGGACTCTCAATGAAAAGGACTGACACTGTGGCAGCAGCAATAGGCTCAAATGTAACAACTGTGAGGCTGGCCCAGGACCAGACAGTGCTTTGTTCTGTTGTGCACAGGGTCGCTATGAGTCAGAACTGACTCGATGGCACCTAAAAACAAAGACAGCATACCTAACAACAACAGTATACAGAGTTTATAAGGGTACTGCATAGATCCATGCTCTAGTCTGAGGGATCATCTGGATGGATCCCTCATTTACTCAACTCAATTGAGTAAGTGAAACAGTTAAAAATTTCCCCAAAGTTATCATCTGAGGGACACTTTCCAAAGTTTATATGAATAAATGTGATCTAGAGTTCTCTTTTCTTTGATGTTTGTTGGGTAAATGAAGCACCCTCATTCTTTGTTTATTTTTTGACCTGTCCTACATTCTTTTATTTTCATAGCACTGTTATTGTTAAGTGACATCCAGTCGGTTCCGACTCATAGCGACCCTGTATAGGGTTTCCAAGGTTTTAAATCTTTACAGGAGCAGAAAGCCTCATGTTTCTCTCACAGAAGAGCACAGGATATGAAGAGTTGATTCTGTTTTTTTCTTTTTTTTTTTTTTAGTTTTTATTGTGATTTGAGTGAAAGTTATAGGGCAGATCATCAGTTCTATGTACCATCAGTTAACGGTATTTCTCTCTATTAATTTTAGCTTTTTTTAAAAACACTTAGGCATATATAGTAATTTATACCACCAAAGGGCACATTCTGCAAGCCTGCGTCCTGGCCACCAACACACAGCCTTTCTCTTTCCATGAGTCTAGAGTCCTCAGCTGCTCCCTCTCTCTCCATGTCCCCATCTCTACCTCCATCTCTGGTGTCACTGCTTCTCTGGATAGGGTCCGGCATTCTACTTGTGCTCTTCTCCCTTGATGGTCCTAGGGTCCTGTTTCTGGACTGTAAGATTAACTACTCCCCCATTTTTGTTATAAAACTTCTACCTTTACAATTGAGACAGTCACAATTAGTCATGATAATTACTCAGTATTGAATCATAAAAATCTTATTCCCATCTCTTTTCACCACACCCATCTAGATAAGATGAAAAGTATTCAGTAGGGACTCTTTCTTCCCACACACACTGTTAAACTAAACTCCCTCTTGAAACCTTTGTAAGCCACTCACTTCGTGCCTTTATCACCCTCTCATTTTAGGTAGCCAATGTCTAAGTTGCTTGCCCCAATCTACCCTGTGTACAGAGGGGATAGCATTGATACTTGATTTGAAGACTCCTTCCCTCTCTGGTGGTATTTTGACCTAAGGATTTATAACCTTGGAACCCTGTACAGGGTCGCTATGGGTCAGAACAGACTCGACGGCACTTAACAACAACAACAATAACCTCCATGAGTATAGGTTAAGTTCATCAAATTGTAGCAATTTACCCTCATTTCCTTTATCAAAAACTTTTTTTTAAAAAATATCTCCTCTAGTTGAATTTTGATTATCAAGCCATCAATGCTAGGTCAAATGGGTACTATCTGCAAGTTTGGGTGTTCTTGTGCGACTCCCCTCACTTCATATCAGCTGGATGTTTCACTCTCAGCTCTAGCCCTTAGTGGCTATGTCCTTGTTCATGGGCTCAGGTGTCCCCAGGTCTCACCACACTTTGGACCAACCAGCCCTTCCTCTTCTCACTCTCATCTCCAGGTCAACAGGAGTCTATATAGAACGTGGTTGAACTCAGCCCATTTCTTCATTGCTGCCTTTCCCCCACTTCCACTCACCAGTAGACCAATGTGGTCACCAGCAAGCTTACATGCCAAGCACCCTCATTCTTATTCATAATTTTAAGCCTTTCCTGCAGTCTGACATTGGTGGTGGTTGTTAGTTGCTGTCTGGTTGATTCCTCTGGTGAAGTATAACTATGCTCCATGGGGGTTTCAAGGCTGCGACCTTTTGGAAGCAGACTGCCAGTCCTGTTTTTTAAGGTCCTTCTTAGTGGGTTTGAACTGCCAAGCTTTTGGATATGAGTTGAGCACTTAACTGTTTGTGCTACCCCACCTCCCCAAGGACTAGATAGATATTATTTAAAATTATGCCGATTATAACAAAAGGATTATTTGTATATCATCACTGTAAGAGCTCCAAATTCTTCTAACTTTATAAACCCTAAGTTTATAAACGACAAAATATGAACAGGAAAACTATTTTAGCAGTTTTATGCAGAAAGTGCCTCATTAAAAACAAATTAGAAAACAGATTTGAGATTACAAAGAATTTGTGTTGAGTAGGGACCTTTATGAAAAATCACTGGCTCTATGTAAAGAACTAAAAATTCTTCAGAGGCTCTTACCCTTTTCTTATCTTTGGGCTGCCCACACTGCAGCAATGTCGTGACTGCAGCCTGGTACATCTAGTATACATTTGGTGATCAGGAAAGGATATTGTACTTACCATCCAGATGCAACTAGAAACTATGTCCATCGGATGAGGCTTCAAAAAGGTTGTGGGAAAATTCCATAATCTTTTCATTCCATTTTTGTAGCCAGTTCATATATTATCCAATATGGCTCAATGCTTGATCGAATATGTTGAATCATGCCAATTCAGTTAGATGAATTCATCTGTTTTCAGCCGGATGTTTGGCAACATGGGACCCAAATATTTGTCACATAGTTTGCATATGTAAAAGTCATAAGGGTGGAGGTTTTGTCATTATATGTTTTTGTTGTTAAGTGCTGTTGAGTTGACTCTGACTCATAGCGACCCTGTATAGAGTTTCCAAGGAGCAACTGGTGAGCTTGAACCGCCACCTTGCAGTTCAAATGGCTTTGCAGTCTGGTGCTTTAACCCACAGTGCCACATTTAATTTCAAATTAAAACCTCAACTTGTACTCCCACTGGTGTAACGTCTTTAGATTCTGGGCTTCATACTAGATTGACAGCAGAGCCGGAGTGCAGGCATTCAGGAAGGTAGTGTGGGCTGATTTGGTCACAGAAACCATAGCCCCTCACTTCACCACCCTAATCAGATGCACTAAGGACTCACTGCTCCACGGAGACCCCAGAAGGCAAACCGGTGCTAATGTGTTTGCAGGAGTCCCCAGTTAGGCGCAGCTTCATCCCCCGTGATCCTTACTCGAGGGCTCTGGTAAAGTTACAGCCACAGCCACCAGTGATGAGTATCTCTGTGGCCCTACGTCTCCCTGCAGAACTAGCCTTCTGTATAGAATGGGAACGTCTGGAACAATGAGATGATTCTTCCTAAAATGGAATTTCCTTACATCATTGAAATACATCCATAACTGCTGTCAAGAGATTTCCCGGTGACACAATGAGTCAGCCACCTCTGTCACTTGAGTAGTAATAATCGTAGTCTGCCTAGTTGTTAACAGTTAGTTATTGAAGTTAACCATTGCACCAACCAGGGCTCCTTCTATTTTGGGGTCTTGGTACCCTGTGCTAAATTCTTCACTTTCTTTTTATCTCAATTGGTCTTCAAGCTCTTTCATTATTATTATTACCCCCATATTACAAATGAGGGAACTGAGGGCAAAAAAGGGTAAGGTGATTAGTTCAAACCTAGCAGCTGCTCTGCTTCTGTAAAGATGACAGCTTTGAAAACCTTATGGAGCAGTTCGACTCCTTCTTATAGGGGCGCCATGTGTTGGAATTGACTAGATGGCAATTAGTTGTTTTTATTGTGATGTGCCGTGGAGTTGGTTCTGACGCATAGCGACCCAGTACAGGGTTTCTGAGGCTGTAAATCTTTACGGGAGCAGAAAGCCTCATCTTTCTCCAGTGGAACAGCTGGTAGTTTCGAACTGCTGACCTTAACGTTTGCAGCCCGATTCATAACCACTACGCTACCAGAGCTCCTTAGATGGCAATTAGTAACCTACCCTAAATCTTTCAGCTTGTATGCAGAAGAGCTAGGATTTGAAGCTACATTTCCATCCCGGCCCCCAATTTTAGAGTCCTTAAGTATGACTACTTTATTGTGTAACTAAAAAATGTCTGCATCTCCATTTTTTTTTTTTTTTTTTTTTAAGCAGACATTCCTCTCAGGAACAAAAAGGGAAAAGATAATTTTGTTTCTACATGCCCATGACATAGTCTCTCAGCTGATCCAGCGTCCGTTACTGTGAGGGAGGAAATTGACTCCCAAGACAAAAATCATGTGACAATGGGGGCAGAGTTCCTGATAAGCCAAGTACAGGGCTATCAGGTGACCACTGAGCTTACCGTTAAGAAGTGTCGGTCCTTAGCTTCGCGCCTTCTCTGGCTGTGGGCAGGCGGGTAGGCCGGCAGTGGAGGAGCAGCCGCGGAAAGAGGAGCAGCGGTTTTCTGTTCACGGCGATCACTCCGGCTCCGGTGTTCTGGACGTCAAAGGGGGCAAAAATATACTTGTCATTTTCAATGTCTCTTTCTCCCCCTTGGGAGTCTTAGCAAAAGGCTATAAAAAAGTGAGTTTTCACTTATTTAGCTTTACTTGTATACCAAATAATATTTTCAGAATGGTTTCTAACAGCTGTGACTTAATATTAAGTTGAACAAATACACTTTCAGTGGATTAATCTCATAATCTTTGCATGAGATAACTCACATCTGAGTTTCAGAAAAAGTATATTTCTCAATGTGCCTCATTTCAAAGCAACATAAGCAAGGAAATGAAGAAGAAAGAACCTAAGAGAGAGAAAGAAGGAGACAGGAACAAAGAGTAAAACATTCCAGAACAACTAGATTGACTTCAGTGCTGGAGTGCAACATAGTTCCAACTGCTCCAGAGCTGCCCAGGAAACCCGAGAGCAATGTCCACAGGCATCCAATGGGGCTTTGGAGCCAGCTCACACTGGGTCCTGAGAGCTGATTGCTCTGCATTCAAGAATTTTGTCAATCAGTTGTTAAACTGTTGCTAGCTTGAAATCAGTCATAGTGGAATGATATGCAGCAGGACTTTAATTAATTTTTTTGGAGAGCTGATTGGTCAACACACCACTACAACTACCTAAACTCTGCCACCCAAGAAACTCCAAGGACCCTGAAATCCTGGGATCCTAGAGGAAGTAAAAATCAAGTCAACCCAATGACAACAGTTGTCTGATTTAGGAACAAAGCTCCCTCCAGGCAACAGCTAAGAGATATCTATATGCGAAGAAGTGGTCATGACTTCCCAACAACCACTGAGACTCCAGGAACACGATGTGGCATTCTGAGTGTCTCAGTGAACCCCAAGGAGTACCCTTCCTAACACACTGGCCATACCAAAAGTCATTTTACCTGCCAGAATCCAACCCAAACACATGCCCAGAGCCTGAAATCTCTAGCGACCCCCTCATGACCATGGTACAGATTTGTGCAGCAGATCTGCAAATCTGTCCTTCTGTCATTTAAAATCAGTATTACTCAGCATGGCTACAATAATCATCATAAATGTTCCATATATTTTGAGCACTTGGGATGTGCCAAAGAGAATTTTTTGCTGAAAATCTGAAGTGCATCATTGCAACCACCTCACAAAGCAGGTGCTGATGCTGCCTTTCTTTTGTAGATGCCTAGACAAACACAGAAGTCCCGGTGTGGTGCTGTAGGACAACGCACTGGATTGCAAGGTTGGTTTGAACCACAGGTTGGTGGTTCAAGCCCACCAGCCACTCCTTGGAAACTCTATCCAGGACCACTATGAGTCAAAACAAATTCAACAGTACTTAGCAACAAACAAACTCAAGGAGAGTCACTTGTTGAGGTCATCAGTGGCATGTACTTGTCTGCAGTGTGGGGCTGTTGCTACTGCTCCTGCCTCGAGGCACTGTAAAGGCTGACATACCTTCTCACTCATCAGAGCATGACTGCCTTGGTTGGATATTATTTGACTACAGTTGTATTTTGGTGTTACTGTTAGGTGCTGCAGGCTGGTTCCGACTCATAGCTACCCTATGGGAAACAGAATGAAACACTGCCCAGTCCTATGGCACCTTTACGGCTGCTTTGTTGAGCTCATTGTTGCAGCCAATGCGTCAATTTGTTGGCTTCCTCTTTTTTGCAAACATTCTGCTTTAACAAGCACCATGTCCTTTCCCAGGAACTGATTCCTCCTGATAAAACAGGCCCAAAGTACATGAGGCAAAGTCTGACCATCCTCACTTCTAAGGCTGTGCTTCTTCCAAGACAGACTGGTTTATTCTTCTGGCCTGGTATATTTCAATATTCTTCACTAACACCATGACTCAAAGGCATCAATTCTTCTTGGGTCTTCTTTATTCACTGTCCAGCTTTCACATGCATATCAGGCAACTGAAAATGCCACGGCTTAGGTTGTTGTTAAGTGCCATCAAGTCAGTTCAGACTTAGAGTGACCCTGTATAGAAGGGGGTGGGGAATGTGTGGCCTTTGGGTCATATTATTGTTGTTGTTAGGTGCCAGAAAGTCAGTACCGACTCATAGCGACCCTACGCACCACAGAACGAACCACTGCCCGGTCCTGCACCAACCTCACAATCATTGCTACATTTGAGCCCATTGCTGCTGCCACTGTGCCAGTCCATCTCTTTGGGGGGGTCTTCTTTTTCTCTGATCCTCCATTTTACCGAACGAACACATCCTTCTCCAGTGACTGGTCCCTCCTGACAATATGTCCCAAGTATGAGCAATGAAATCTGGGCATTCTGGCTTCCAGGGAGCATTCTGGCTGTACTTCTAACACAGACTGGTTTGTTCTTTTGGCAGTCCATGGTACTTTTAATATTCTCCTCCAACATAGCTCAAATGCATCAATTCTTCTACGGTCTTCCTTATTTACTTTGCAACTTTCACATGATTACGAGGTTACTGAAAAGACCATGACTTGGGTCAGGCACACCTTAGTCCTCAAGCTGACATCTTTGCTCTTGAACACTTTAAAGAGGTCTTGTGCAGCACATTTGCCTAATGCAGTACATCTTTGATTCTTGACTGCTGCTTTCATGAGTGTTGTTGGTTGAGCCGAGCAAAATGAAGTCTTTGACAACTTCAATAATTTTTCCATTTATTGTGATATTATTTACTGGTCCAGTGGTGAGGATTTTTGTTTTCTTTACATTGAGGTGCAGCCCATACCTAAAGCAGTGGTCTTTGACCTTCATCAGTAAGTATTTTAAGTTCTCTATGCTTTCAACAAGCAAGGTTATATCATTGGCATATCACAGGTTGTTAATGAGTCTTCTTCCAATCCTGATGCCACTTCCCCCCCTCCCCCATATAATCCAGCTTCTCAGATTATTTGCTCAGCATACCGACTGAATAAGCATGGTGAAAGAATACAACCATGGCACACACATTTTCTAATTTTAAACCATTCAGTGTTCCCTTGTTCTGTTTGAACAACTACCTCTTGGTCCATGTACAGGTTCCTCATGAGCACAATTAAGTGCTCCAGAATACTCATTCTCTGCAATGTTGTCCATAGTTTGTCATGATCTACACAATCAAAAGCTTTTGCATAGTCAATAAAGCACAAATGAACATTCTTCTGATATTCTCTGCTTTTAGGCAAGATCCATCTGGTATCAGCAATGATATCTCTGATTCCACATCCTCTTCTGAATCCAGCTTGAACCTCTGGAACTTCTCTGTCAATGTATGGTAGCAGCTGCTTTTGAATTATCTTTAGCAAAATTTTGCTTGCATGGGATATTAACAGTGCTATCCGATGATTTCCATATTCCATTGGGTCACGCTTTTTGGAATATGCACAAATATGGATCTCTTCCAATCAGTTGGGCAAGTAGTTGCCTTTCAAATTCTTGGCATAGATGAGCAAGTGCCTCCAGTGCTTCATCATTTTATTGAAAGTTTTCAATGTGTATTCCATCAATTCCTGGAGCCTGTTCTTTGGCAATGCCTTCAAGTGTACCTTGGACTTCTTCCTTCAGTACCATTGGCTCTTGATCATATGCTACCTCTTGAAATGGTTGAACATCAGCCATTTCCTTTTGGTACAGTGACTCTGTGTATTCCTTCCATCTTCTTTTGATGCTTTCTGCATCATTCAATATCTTGTTCATAGAATCCTTCAATATTTCAAGTCAAGGCTTGAATTTTCCCTTCAGTTCTCTCAGCTTAAGGAATGCTGAGTGTGACTTTTCCCTTTTGGTTTATCTAACTCCACGTCTGCAAATTTCATTATAAATATTTGACTTTGTCCTCTTGACCTGCCTTTGAAATTTTCTATTCAGCTCTTTTACCTCCTCCATTTGCTTTTGCCTCCATTAAATTTAGCATCTCTATGCTGGAAGCAAGTTTGAGAGTCTCTTCTGAAGTAATTTCCTTCTTTCTTGTCTTCTTAATGACCTTTTCCTTTTTCCCTGAATGATGTTCTTGATGTTATCCCATAACTCTTCTAGTCTTTGGTCTTGAGTGTATAATACATCAAATCTGTTCCTGAGATGATCTCTAAATTCAGGTGGGATTTTTTTCAAGGTCATATTTTGGCTCTCGTGGACTTGATCTTCAGCCTGAACTTGCATATCAGCAATTGATGGTCTGTTCCACAATTTACCCCTGGCTTTGTTTTGGCTGATTATATGGAGCTTTTCCACCATCTCTTTCCACAGATGTATTTAATTTGACGTCTGTGTATTCTATCTGGTGAGGTTCATATTTATAATTGTCTTTTGTGTTGTTTAAAAAAACTATTTGCAATGAAGAAGTCATTGTCCTTGCAAAATTCTATCATGCCATCTCTAGCATCGTTTCTATCACCAAGGTCATATTTTCAAATACTGATTCTTCCTCTTTGTTTCCAACCTATGCATTTTAATCAGTAATTATCAGTACATCTTGATTTCATGTTTGATCAATTTCAGACTGAAGAAATTGGTAGAATTCTTTATAGCTTCACTGGCTTTAGTGATTGGTGCATACATTTGAATAATAGTTGTATTAACTAGTTTTCTTTGTAGGCTTGTTGATATTATCCTATCATAGACTGCATTCTACTTCAAGGCAGATCTTGATATATTTTTGATGAATGCGATGCCATTCGTCCTCAATTTCTTATTCCCACCATAGTAAATCATGTGATTGTCCGATTTCCGATTCAAAATGGCCAATAACCAGTTCATTTCAGGTCACGAATGCCTAGGATATAAAGCCTACAAAATCACTTGGTCTGACCCTGCCAAGGCAACCAGAGTTCCAGCTATCACATTGGAGGTGAACTTAATTAAATGTTTGACCAAATATAGCAGGCTAATTTTTAAGTTGATAATTTTATATGGCCTGTGAAGGTTGCTATAAATTTTGGCAGAAAAAAATGTTCCCCACCCCTGCTGTATAGGGTTTCCAAGGAGCAGCTGGTAGATTTGAACCTCTAACCTTGCTTTAAGCAGTTTTCTGCTTA